AAAAAGTCCCTTAATTGTTATAAAGGGCCCCCAAATAAAAAAAAAAAAAAAAAAAAAAAGTACTTTAAACAACTCTGCATGCCTTGTTGAACCAGTGCGGGAGCCCAGTGACACCAGCGCTGATTTCTGCAGTACCTCTGCATTTGTGATGGCAGAATTTTTCCATCCGAGAAATAGCTCAGTGTGACCTTGCTTAGCTTAAAAGAGAAGAAAAAAGTCTTGAACGGAATGAGGCATTGCTGCACAAGACAGCTATCAAATCATTCCTCTGCCAGCCAGTAACTCCCATTTTGTTTAGTGCCTGTGTCAGTGAGAAATTGCAATCCAACATAAAGCGAGAGGGATAACGGAATTTTGCAGCTCCCGTGTATATGAAATAAAGCACAAGTCATGCCAATTTTTCAGCTGGAAGATGCCATCTCACTATATCACGTTTGTGTCAGGTGGAGGCACACGATCATCCAGATGTAGGTAAATAACCCTCTATAGCCACCCAGCACGATCCTGATAATGTTTCCCACTTCCATATCATATGTGGCCTGGCCTCAAAGCCTTCACTGCACTTACTGCCTTCAAAAGCACTTCACAAAAACTGGACACTGCTATTCTCTTTATTTTCTCCTCATCATTTAAAAAGAGCAAAATCTAAACACGCAAGTTCAGCAGCATGGAGTGTATAAAGGAGTTAGTTCAGCTTAAAAACACAACAAAAGAGAAATGAGCAGAAAAAAATCCCCTCCAGAACTGCAGGCTCCCAAGAAGGGCTGGCTGGAGACTTTCTCACAGAACAGTTGTCTATTCTTTAACCTATTTCTTTAACCTCTAACTTTCTGTGGCACTGCATCCATTTCCTGAGGGGTCTGGCAGACACTAGAGCCAGACCTTGCATGGCTTTCTGCCCGCTTGCCTGGGCTGCTCCTCTGCCAGGACAGGCTAACTGGGAGCCTGGAAGTGGTGGGAGAGCCAGCTCCCAGTGTTGAAGCCTTGCAGCATCCCTAGCTCCTGGCATCCCAGAGTCGCAGTGTCTAAGGCTTCCCAAGGCAAGCAAACCTGGCAGCTCAGAAATCTACCAAACCTCCAGGGAAAAACATATCAAAATTCTTCTTTACTGGTTTCTAAATGAAATGTTAAACCTGCCGATTTCCACAGCAAGTACAAGTCTGTGAGGTGGCTCCTCACTTGGTAATGACCACCACAGGATTTACTTTAGCTGTAGCAGCAGGAGTTAGTATTTGTCAAAAAGGCATCACCTCAATTGCTTTTATCACCTTGCCTTTCTCTCTTCCTTATTCCTAGAACTGAGCAATTTCTTCATAAATGTTTGCAAATGAACAAAGATTCTGCCAAACTTTTTCTTCTTTATTTGGAGAAGGTCTGACCACTGAACTCTGCCTGCTGTTTTTTTCCAACACTTAACTACCATGTGTTTCCAGTGGATTATGCATATTTATTCCCAAAACCAGAGCAGCTCCACTCACTAGTGAACTTACAGCTGCATTTCTTGTGTGTCAGCCTTCAATCTGGAAATCACTGCTCTAAAATGTCCTCTCTTGCAACTCCAGCCTGGGTTAGTGCCATTTTTAACAACTCTCTTTTTCCTCTGCAGTGAATACTTTAGTTGTTTATGTAATTATCTACCTAGCTTGTAAATTAATCATCAGGCTGCTATCTGTCTATTTTTCTATCTATCATCTGATGCATTTTGAGATTTTTGCTAACATTAGAAAAGCATTCCAGGGCTCCCATGTCTTCTTAGACCTGCTTATCCCCAGCTATACAGCTGTAGGGTTGAAATTCAGGGTTCAAGGGCTTCATGTCAAAATGCTTCATGTGGGCATACATAACAAATACCAAAAAATTCCTCAAACCATCCATCTCACACATGCCTCTTCTTTGTTCTGTTTGAAGGTAGCTGCGATAACCAGAGCTGGGCCAGGCACTGTCTGCTCTGGGATTTTCAATTTTTTACATGGCTGAAGAAATCTCCAACAAAAAGATATGCATGAAAAATAACATTTGGTAGCTAGCTCATTTGTAATTCCTGAAACAGTACTTTATTTTGCCTCCAAAGGGTTAGTTACCTCATTTTATTGACAGGACTAATTATAGGAAACCTAACTGATTATGAGAGACATTTTTCTTTACCACTGTTCTTTTAAATATACCAGAAGCAAATTATGTTAAAACTAAATACAAATATTTCAGAATATAACTGCAGCACCTTATCTGCAGGGAGTGCCAATACCCCTTTGCTAATATCCAGATGAAGAGTCCAGACTACCCTCTAAAATCTAGAAGGGTAAATATGCATAAAATCCAGTCAGATGCCCGAATTTCAGATTTCTTTGCCTTTTGCTAGCTCCAGCACTTTCAAAGACAACATGGTGTTGGGTGATGTGGTGGGTGTGATGCTGTGCAGTGGTTCGATGTTTTTATGAGAAATGCAGCGTTATTTCCACTAGGTACTTGTTTTGTGGGAACTGGCAGGGGTTATCTCTGTTAACGATTCCCTCAGCATTTTTCAGGGTAAGGCCTTAAGCAGAGCTTGTTTTTCATGCGGAGAGGAAAGAGACTACTCTCTCCAGGTCTCCGTGGATTGGAGGGTATGGTACCGTACATGAAGCTGCCTGTTAAGCTAGAAGAAACAGGGATTGGTACAAGACGAGTAGGAGATAAAGCTGAGAAGGCGATGACAACAAGTGGTTTTAAAATTGGGCTGGAGGTAGTTACTTATGTGGTTCTGCAGGATTCAACTCAAAACAATTATAATCTCATTAATAACTGGTAAGGAAAAAAAAAATTAGCGTTCTTATAAGATATACCATGCCACAAAACCAGGGTAATTTATCAACATATTGAAAGATTGGAATATCACACAGGAAGATCTGAAAACCCATGAAGGATTGGAGAAATATAGATGGAATTAACATTTGCAGTACAAAAAAAAAGGGTCATTTGTCTGGGGGCTGACAAGAATCTTTGGTCTCTGCAGAGACCAAAAAGGTTCCCACTGAAAACACCTGAGTGGGAGCTGGGGATACCTGCCAGGCACAGCACAGTGCAGAACATTACACTAGCAGAAGGTGAGTGGTAGAGATACATTAGTGTAATAGCCAGGACAGGGGACTGTTAATGCCATTAAATCAAACCCTTGTGGAACTTAATTTGCAACCTGTCCACAATTAACACATACATTTAATACAAATTGTAACTGGGAAAAGGTAGAAAGGGACTACTAGAGTCACGAGAGGGGTGGGGAATACATCCCCTGAAAGACTGAGCTTGGCTCACTTACTCTGGCAAAAGCAAGGGTGTGAGGGGACAAAACTGGTTTCTAAAAATATGTCTAAGAAGGGAATCCTCAGAAATGGAAAGGCAAGAGTTGTTTAAACTAATGGCCAGTGCTGGCACAGGAACAAAGCTGCATAAACTGCTTGTGAATAAATTTAGGTGAGGAGTGAAAAGAAGGTGTCTAATTATCAGAGAACTGAGGTTGTGAACCCAACATCAGGAACTGGAAAAAAAAAATCTAACTAGTTTTTGATCATGCTATAAAGAAAATTGCAAGACATACTGCTTATGCTAGAAGACAACTGCATCCGATGACCCACAAGCTCTCTTCTAGTCCTGTTACTCTAAACGTGAAGAATCACCTTGGGTAAACAAAAGCACACGCTGACATTTCCCGTCAATGCTAGCATCTCCCAGTGCTATGGGGAGTTGTGGAGACTAACCTCACTGACTTGGAGAAATAAGTAGTCTTAAGAAAGAGATTCAAATCCCTCTGGTTTAATCACTGATGGACAGACACAGCCCCTTTCTCCTGCTGCAGGCAATTCAGTCTACCTATCTGCAGGCTCTTCCTTCAGCAGAAGGTAAATTGCCTTCTGCAGGGTCCTCTGTCTCTCCACAGAGGACAGGAGAGACACCCAGACCGGATGTCTGATTTTCAAAAGCCAACGGAGTTAAATCCTCTCCTGAGTGAGCAGGGTTCATGTTCTGTAGCCTGCTGCCTTTTCTGTGAGGTTTCCCATTAAGTGGTGACCATATCTAATTGTAGTTGGTCCATGAAACCTGAGGAGATCCCAGCACTTTAGGTACATATCTGCACAGAACAGTAATTCTACAGTAAATTGAGCACTCTCTTGCCTCACTTACTCTTAGTGCCTTTTTTTAAATTAATTTTAAAAGCCAAGCTTTAAATATGGTAATTGGTAATCAGATAGTTTGTTTTTAAAATAAAAATTTTCTAGTTGAATGAATTATATATTCATTTTGACATATATAAAATTTACATCAATACCAAATGGAATCATATAAAAACAGAGCTAAAAGTTAAGCAATTATTCTTTTCAAATCAAACCCACAATGGGACTAGAAATTTTCCAAGACATTTTTCCTACCATTAGTGCACATTACTAGAAGCAATTGCTTTTCCCTGAAGCCTCCAAAAAGCAAAAGAAATGATCAAACAGCTTGTAAATTGACCCATTATTTTTCCTCAGCGTTACAGCCAAAAGCATTATAAAAATACAACCACTTTCACTGCTATTAAATAGAACATTAAACAAATCATATTTAACATTAAAGCAAACATGAGAAAATTCAAACAATGTTTGTATTTCAACTTGAAGAGAGAAAAAAACGTATTTTATTTGCTTACCTCTTCAAATTTTAGTGCAATCATAGAAAAAGCTTTAAAAATTGCGTCTGTTGGGCCTGTTATTGTCACAATTCTCTCTGGACAGGAGCCTTCTGAAATATTGATTCGAGCACCACTCTGTCAAAAAGAACAAATATTTTTCAAATTTATACTTCCCAGGGGGCAAACTAAGTAGGATTAGGGATATAGTTTGGGAATGCATACCCTGAGGCATCTAATTCACTCCCCTACAACTGCAGCCCCAACATCATACAATTTCAGCATAAACTGATCACACTCCAAAAATTCATCTAACTGCGGGAAGCCGGATTCTGTCTGGCTAAATACTTACACAGCCTTCATCACAGTATGCAAATAGCACCTCTGTAACTCAAAGTTGCAAATAATTGCATAATCAAGTCTTTTCCTTTCCCTCTTGCAGGGTAAACCTTAAGTAGGACCGGAGCTGCAGAATTTCAGACGAGGTTGTTTTCTCCAGGGAGCATCAACATCTCCCGGGAAAGATGCACCTCTCTGGTTTGGAGACCCAAAGGCAGGGCTCCATCTGTCTAGCTGGGGCATTGCTTTGCACTGCGGAGAAGGTTCCTTCTAGCTGTGTCTCATGTGAAGGAAGTCAATTAATATGCACTGAACAACCCTTTAATGGAGTAGCGGTAGGACAGGCAACAGTAATGGTGTTATCTCCTTAAGGCAAGGAGCCTGTTGGAAGAAGTTAGAAAACCGTAAGTCTTGGAGGCAAGCCAGCATGGCTCTCAGGTACGCTTAGTCCCCTTTATGCCACTGTGGCAGCGCAGGGAAAACCCCTAAGCTAGATGTAAATATATTTAAGAGGATCTTGGTGTAGTTAATTATCGAAGCCAGTTCAGGTAGGACCCACCCTATGCTTTCCCTGAGGTTTCAGGCATGGAGATGTGTTAGCGCAGTCTAACAAGTCACTGGCGCCTCTACTCATCCACAGGCACTGACCTTCTCGAGATCGGGGCCTGCAGCAAATGTGAGGTAATCCGGGTTAATTTGGCCCTTTGCCTTCAGGGTTACCACGAATCAGCCCATGTGCTGTGTGCCTGAGCCCTTATTCACGTGCATACTGCTGCCCAACAGCAAGATACCTTATTTCCCCGTATGACAGCAACCAAACACAATTAAAAAAAAACCCCAACACTCCTGATACAAAAATCTTGCTGCCACGGACTCGGCTGGCAGACATACTCAGCGTTCATAGGCAAGCAAGGGCAGCAGACACTTTTCCTGACAGGCCAACCTGAGTGGGACTCGCCCTCATCAAACACCAGCACGGGATCAGGAAGGAGATCAGGGCCCGGGGCTCGTTCACGCCGGTGGCAACGTCCGGCTGCTGCCAGCACAGGCGAACCCGGGGCCGCGGGACTCAGCCTGGCAGGGAGCGCGCCGCAGCGTTCATAGGCAAGCAAGGGCAGCAGACACTTTTCCTGACAGGCCAACCTGAGTGGGACTCGCCCTCATCAAACACCAGCACGGGATCAGGAAGGAGATCAGGGCCCGGGGCTCGTTCACGCCGGTGGCAACGTCCGGCTGCTGCCAGCACAGGCGAACCCGGGGCCGCGGGACTCAGCCTGGCAGGGAGCGCGCCGGGTGCCATGGCGGGGAGAGCTGCCGGCAGCGGGGCGGGGGGGGCGGCCTCCACGGCCGCCTTCATGCAAAGCACGGCTCTTCCTTTGAAACTGGAGCCATGGGAGCTTGTCTGAAAGATCGCTCCACCGTGGATCGGCGGCAGCCAAAATTCACAGATGTTACTCCTCTGATAGACGGCCAGTCAAAGCAGAGCTACAGCAATTAAAATGTTATGTGGCGGCTTCCATATTTGTGTAGGAAGTTAACAATGGCAGGGCACAGAACCGAGGTTTTTGTACTTTTCTTTAGGCCCAAAGTTGTCTCTGACATTCTTGCTCCGAAGAGCAAGATAAAGTTGCATTTCATTCCATAAAGATGGCATGCAACTTGCCACATCTGTCAGGAAAGTTAAAATAAAGTTGTGTTTTGCTTTTAAAGAAGTACTGAAGAGTTATCATCACAGGAAGACATAGCCTCTTAGTCCTGTGCTGATATAAAGATGCATATAATTCATTAAAAAACCCAAACAACCCAATAAAGCCTCTTGTGACCACGTATACGTGACGGTAGGTTTTCAGGAGTGGAAGAAGAACATTTGTTATTTATCTTGAAAAACTAACTAGGGATCATAACTCTTCTCTAAGATGTTTAACTCAGAAGTCAGGAGCACTCTGCAATGATGGCTTCCCTTTTGTACGTGCAATTTATATCCAAAGATGTCTGCCCGTGATCATAATTAATAATTAAACTACAATGTGTTTAATCAACTGGCAGGATTACTTAGTATATTGGAAACTTTTTTTTTCTAGTATTTTTTTTTAAGTCTTAGCAAACGTACTTATGTGTGAAAACAAGAGTGAAAGCTCTTATCATCAAAAAAGGAGTTCTGAACTCAGTCAGCCTGACAATGAACTCCCTATTGTGTATATTTAAAGATGTATCTCAGCAATTTTCTTTACTACAAATACTTTGAGATATCTCTGCCATAGACCTTCTGTCAGTGCATAAAACAACAAAGCGCTGACATAGTAATGTACTGCAGATTTACCAGAACCAAATTGACTTTTCTTGAGGCATCCTCTCTACACTTTGCACTCCTAAAGCTTTAACCAGTAGGATTTGTCTTTTGCTTTATGCTTTTAGCACTTTCATCAAAGAAGGAAAATTACATGGATCTCCAAGTAAGATGTGCTGCCTTGCAGGACAAATGTGGGTCTGTAACCTCCACCTGGGCACAATCCTCTGAAGGCAGTGCAGCTTGCTGTGCGGCAGGGCAAGACACTGGGGAGACTGAGGTTTATGCAGTGCCATGTTTTAGTTAGCCTTTTTGTGTTTACAAAGGTTTACAACCTTTTCAAAGATCTGCGGTGTGCAGATCTACCTTGTCCACAACCTACTCACAGCTGCAAAATGACGAAAAGTTAAGGCTTTGCCAAGACATGGCAGAGGGATACTTTGGCTTATGCAAGTCTGGCACCAGCTCTGCTGAAGCTCGTATCTACCCTCAAACTTTATGTAGCATCAGTCTTGGTTTCAGATTTTGGAACCTCTCCAACCAGGAGGCCAAGCCGTGTGCAGGACCGATGTAAAGAAAGATACAGTGGTTTTGATGCACAAAATCAGGCTGGCTAAGCTGTTCCTGAGATAAGACAGCAGCAGGCATATTGCTATGGGAATGAAAGACTCCAGACTGCTGTGGTGATAAGGAGGTTACATTAACAACGTTTAATTTAGGCCAGCACGCTTACACACCACCACTTGCAAAGGATGGTGGTGTTAAATTAACTGCCCACTTGATGGCAGTATCGGTCTGCACACGCTGAACTTCCCTGTACTCTGAGCTGGAAAGAAAGGCAAGTAAAGACATCAAGGCTTGTCTTACCTCCTCCCTCATCTTCTTAACTGTCTCACCTTTCTGTTAAAGAAATAGAAAAAAAGTTAGCCTGGGCTGACGAAGTGAACTGATATACAATATTTTGACATGAAAATAAAGAGAGAAAGTAATTTCCTGACCTTTCCGATAATGCTTCCAACCTCCTGAAACAGAAGAAAAAGACACTGTGAATGATCGATTCGCTACAGGTCCTGAGCTTCTTCCTGCTCCTAAGCTATTTCACTGTCAATTATTTCAAACGTGCAATGTGAATCGTAGCCCCCTTCCATTGTTGCTATATACAAATATGCCATGTTAGATACAAAGGGGCAGACTAAAAATGCAGCTTTGCAATTTACTGATTGTGCAAGAAAAATACCTTCAACAGAAACTGCTCTTGCGGTTACAGATCGATCCTGCTACTATAAACACCGAAAAACCCCTATCAGGTAACGAAAATTTCAAAAATAATAGAACTGCACAACCTGCTAGAGAAAATGGGATATAATACAACCATCAAAATAATTGCTGATCTCTCTGAGTGCAGGCATTTACCCTCTTCACACCATGTAATAGCTAGAGCTGAATTTCCATGCTACCGAGTGTTATTGCATAAACACCTGGTGGCCTGTCTTAATCTCCCTATTAAGCACTTACAGAACAATAATTGCTAATCACTTTTTAGGGATTTGGGAATTGCTACTGGGCTCCCACAACCTTCCATGAAGGGACAGAAAATACTAAGAAATGTCATACAACATCATGAACATACAACAGGGGAACAACTTTGCAGCTCTGGCAACATCCCAAGGGTTAAAAACTCGGTGCATAAAATTGACAGGTAGCAAAAATGAAGCTAATAACTCTAAAATGAATAGCCTGGACACGATACACAAATCATGCAGGTGTGACATCAGACTGGAAATCATCTGAAGGAGAGGAGACCAGCTAAAGGAAAACAAACTCCTCTCCTATACTCAGATTGTGAAATCTACTTCAACGGTTAAAGACTGTCTCACATGGCTGATCTGTCCCAGACATATGATATACAGTTTCCCCTCTCTCCCCCAGTCTATATACTTAAGTCTGACCCATCCTGAAACACAGTCCAAAGAGTAAGATTTAAGAAATTGTCCTCCATTGCTCTATCCAATGATGGACTCATGATAAAGTGCTACTAACTTCACCCTGCATACAGGACTACCTGCAGTGACCTTGAGAGAGCTATTTCTCACCAGAATGTTATTTGTAAGCTCATAATATGAAGCTGCTTGTGCTTGCAACTCCTCACATCCTGCTCACAGATATAAAGACTTTTCAATGAGAAGACGACCTATCTCAATGAAGAACTTTAGCATATGGTTCCTTTGCACTCTCTGCAAATCTGCAGATAACACCAGACTGGGGGGAACAGTCAATACACTGCTGGACAAGGCTGCTATTTGGAGTGACCTAGAGAGGCTGGAGAAATGGGCTGAGAGAAACCTCAGGGAGTACAATGAAGTCATATGAAAAGTTCCATGTCTGGGATGGAACAAGTCCATGCAGCAGGGCAAGCTGGGCAAAAACTTGCTACATACAAACTGGCTTTGCAGAAAAAGTCCTGAGGGTCCCAATGCACAACACTGACATGAGTACATGAGTGTATCAGCAGTGCATCCCTGATCAACCAAATGCTGGGCTGTATTAACAAGAGTGTAGCCAGCAGGCTGGAGTAAATGATTCTTGCCTTCTCCTTGTGTTTGTGAGACCGTGCCCAGAGGATTGTGTCCTGTTTTGGGCTCCTAGTACAAGACAGACGAGGACACACTGAAGTGAATCCAATGCAGGGCCAACAAGATGGTCAGGGGACCAGAGCACAGAACACATGAGGAGAGGTTGAGAGAACTGCATTTGTTCACCCTTAGAAAGAGAAGACCTGGGGGGATCTTATTGTGGTATAATATAAGGAAAGCAACTTGCAACATAAATTCCTACTCAATATGAGGAAGATATTTTTTACCATGGGGATGGCTGGACATTGGAACAGGCACCCAGAGAAGCTGTGGAGTCTCCATCCTTGAAGGCATCCAAACCCAGACTAGGCAAGGCCCTGAGCAACCAGATCCAATGGGATCTGCTTGATTCAGGAGGTCAGACTGGAGACCTTTGGCGGTCCCTTCCAACCTCCATGGGTCTGTGATTCTTCAAGCATGGCCTTATACCCACTGAAGTCAGTGCCTAACTAGCCACAAAGTTCCTCAACCCAGTGAGGCCCCTTCTCAGGTTTATTTTCAAACTTTACTTTTTCTGTTTCCCATTTCCCTTTTTTATTTCCCTTCCTACTTCTCTTCCAAGATGGGATTCTGCTTTCTTGTACATGCTGACCAGAGAACAGATATTGTCCAGACAGGCATTGCAAATCTTCCAGAGGTATCTGCTTTGCAAACCTACAGTTCTGCTGGCTGATGTACAGTAGACCTTTACACATCACACAGCTGTGTGACTGTTCTTGCTAAAGCTTCCTGTGTCCATCTGGGACTGTGAGACGTCTGTACATCTGCACATACAATGCAAAGAAGCAGCTCTGTGAGAAGAGGAATGAATGAAGCGGACTCGCTGCAGTTTTGTGTCTTGTGACCAAATTATCCTGTGTCTCTTAATATGTGGTTTTAGGTCATGCCTTTTCCCGTGGTTGAGACAGCTGTACCAGCATGCTGTGTAGGCTCTCTAATGAGGTGCAGCTTTTTTGTTAGCAGTGACACAAATTTGGGACACCCATTCCACAAAATTTTTAAGATCTTACTATTTTTTTATATCATCATTGTAACTGTGCCAATCTGCCTGTAACTGTTGAATGGGATTAAACAATACAGAGAGTAACACTCTAAGTGATGATAAGCCTTGGGAATCCCTCACGTCTGGTAGTTCATATCTGCCCACTCAGCACATTCAGCAGTTTTACCTCAAAACCTTTTTCCATTCTTCTTAGTCCCAGCTTTCAGAAATAATTTCTTTCACAAAACAGATTCTTAGGAGGTAGAAGGACCTTTTGCTACAGGTGAGCGTATTTTGTTCCAGTTGCTATTGGCAAGCAATCGGATTTCAGCCCATGGTATAATTTCAGTTTTTGTATATCTGAAGTTTCATTAGAAGCTGTAGGCCTGGTCTTGAACCTGCAAGGCTCTGCCAGCATACACTTAGTATGAAATCTGTCCCAATCCATTTGATCATCCTGGGTCTTAATGACAGATACTGTTCTTTCAGAAATGTATGGATGGGTCATGACTAATAAGTGCAAAGATATCTTCCCTGGAAACAGGAAAAGATACTTTCACTTTGGAAACAGAAAAGCAACATACTGTTTGTAGCCCTAGTAAAAAAGGTGGTCCATTTCAAACAAGGAAATTGGGAGTGTTTAAACAAGCAGAGTAGAGCACAAAATATTAGGATTCTCAAGCTGCTTGTTCCACTGAAGTCTGTGGGAGTTTTGCTTCTGATTTCAGTGGGGACAGGAATTCCACCTGACTGATCATCATCTTGTTATTACCAAAGAGTACAAGCTGCCGAAGAACTGGGCGAATGAACAGTGTGAATCCTACTGAGAAAAAATATTTCAATGAGACTGGTGACCAGTTCCTTGGAACATGCTAGCAAATGTCACTGTAATGCTATGGAGTACTTCAAACCTTCCCCTCCTCAAAGGGTGAATTTAAAGCTTATTCTATAAGAAGGCAGTTTCAAGTTTCGAAGCAAAAGCCACCTCTCCCCCTGCACTGGGAGCTGGGATTCTGCTTGGAAGTGTGAGGGAAGGGTGCAGGGGGAGACAGAAACATTAACTTCACATGGATATTCTTAATTTTTCCAGAATTTTTATCTATACAAATTACTAAAAAAAAAAAAAAAAATCTAGAATGCTTCTAAATGGGTCACTTCAGACTTTCTTGGGGCCTTAGCTGTTTCTAGGAAAGCTCCTGTAAGTACTGGTGACAACAGATCATCTCTTTAATTATGATGAGAAATGTACTTCAGCCACAGATTAAATCAGAAGACTCTTTACACCTCATTCCCCAAACTACCAATGCTACTTCATCAAACCTTTAATGTTTCTTTATACAGTCCAATATTTGTTTCATATAGATTCTTATATCACCCTAAATTACATTACTGCTTAATGAGATACCTAACATCGTTTTTATGACACTCAAGTTCTATCAATATTTCTAGCCAAGGTTACTTTGAGGGCTTTGCCTTCTTCAGAAAATGTTTCTAAATCTGCCAGACACCAAACTGTGCTGTAGTTAACTGCATAAGACTGAAGGGATGGGATGTCTGTCACTGACATCAGTTCATTAAAAGTTAGGAGTCCAGTGTAAGCCAGGCACACAGCCTCCTCTGCAGTCCAGGGACAGAGATATTTGAGGATGTTTTGTTCCTAAAAGAGGAGGGGTGCTCCCAGGGTTTTGTCTTTCTCCATCTGCAGTAGAATAAGCCTAGACTGACACTAACATACCTAAAGTTTGGTGAAAGGAATCCTACAGTTGATGTCAAATTCAGCCTCAGTGCAGGTCAGACAGCAGTTTGTCCTAGCAAATAATTGCCTACTAGAATATACTAATAACTCTTGAATTATTTGCTGTTTTCCAGTGCTCAGGAATATGAGCCAAAGGTAAGTACTTATGATCAATTTCAGATTGATTTATTGACTAACCATCTATGCGTAAACACAGTGGGAAAATAAGTTATATGATAACAATTACCGGGTTTCATATAATCACATTTCAACAGCTGATCGCAAGCAGTGCACAAAAAAAAGGAGTTATAAATGGAGGAACTAAAGCTCAGAGGGAGAAAGACAGGTCCAAGGCAACCCGGCAGACTGATGCCAGAGCTAAAAGTACTTCCCAAGCTCCTTGGCCTCAACGTATAAACACCCACCTGTCAGAAGCAGATATGCCACAGCAATATGCTGGATGAATAGGATGCCTCCTAAAAGCTGCAAGTGCGTGCGTGCCTACATCCACCAATACATATGCATACAAACACACACATTTATATATTTGTGTGCGAAGTCAATATATAGATACAGGCACCAAAGAGATACACATGAACTTTCCTTTGAGAAATGACAGCAATTTGGGGTGCCTATCTTGAGATTTATCAAAGGGGCCTGAGTTTCAGATTG